CTCTGTGTGTATGATGAAGAAGCTGCTGAATGTTGTGACTAACTCTGTGTGTATGATGAAGAAGCTGTTGAATGTTGTGACTAACTCTGTGTGTATGATGAAGAAGCTGCTGAATGTTGTGACTAACTCTGTGTGTATGATGAAGAAGCTGCTGAATGTTGTGACTAACTCTGTGTATGATGAAGATGCTGAATGTTGTGACTAACTAACCCCTGCTGTTTTTGTTTTTGTCCCTACTTTTCAGACGAGCCCTGCAGTGGAGACAGATCTATTTTCTGCCAGATGGAGGTCTTAGCTCGCTACTGTTCCATTCCWGGCTACAACAAATTGTGCTGTGACTCCTGCAGTAAGAGCAGTGGAACTGTTTCTGTTGTGTCTTTAGCAGCTGAGAAAGAAGAACACGTCCGATTTGGATCAGCATCGCAGCTGATGGAAACACTTAAAACCTTTAACAGCACTCACAGCAGGAAAGCCATCACAGCTGTGTCTCCGATGAAGAAAGCTACATCAAAGATGACCGCCGCACCGAGGAGGGTTCCCCGACAGCTGATCCTTACTGAGACGAAGCCTCTCAGACGTGCACTGTCTCCACTCACACATCCTGAAGGTCAAAGGTCAGACAGCCTGATGGGGAGTCGGTTGCCTTCATCATATTCTGAAGTGGGCAGATGAGAGTGAAGGACTTCTAATGGACACCAGATGATCCAGCTTCATCCTGATTCTTCTCAAACTGAAAACATCCTGAAAAGTCAAAAGTGCTGGTTCACTTTGTTGTTTTTTTATTTCCTGCTCTGTTTTTGTCATCCTATAGATTTTAATTATCACATGGACCAATTCTGTCCAGCTGGAGCTCATATCTGTTTATGAGATTAAATTCTTCGTCATCCTTCAACCAAACAAACTTTTCTTTTCACTCCAAACCCAAACTTTTTGACTGTTTGCAAAAATACTTGTAATAAAAGCAAAGCGATATTGAAGTTTTCTTAGCTTCCTGTTTGCTGCAGAATCAATCAGATCAGCATCTAGAAAGAATTTGAGTTCAATAAAACACATTAATTTGAATAAATCCTCCTTTTGAAGCTGGATCAAAGTTAAAAGTGCTTTAAAGTTTAAAACGGATGTTGTATATTATAGATTACAACAAATTTTAAAAATCCTCTTTACTTGACGCTACAGCATTTTTTTACAAGTTTGACTAATTAGATGCAGTTTTTGATAAAACTACTAAATTCAACTTGGAATCCAAATGGATCCCAAAGATCCAGCTGGACCCCATCAGAACCTGCTCTGAGTTTTTCCTGCAGTTGTGGGGACATTGCACCAGAAAGGATCAACTTTAGTTTGTTTTGCTTGATGTAGCGTCATTTTCTAAAACAAAGTTTTTACTTTTGCTGTTGATAATATTTCATCTGTTTCATAACTGATCAAAGGAAGCTTGAAAAGAGTTTGGAGCAGGGATTTTCTTTTAACACGTCATTTTTCTCCATTAAAGAACATAGTGCCAAATCAGCAGCAAACACGTCTTTTAGTCGTGTAAAAATCAATAACTTTGATTCTCAGTCTTTTTCCTGACAGGAGTCCAAACATCCAGCTAACTGGAAACAACACAGATTTTTTGTTTTGTTCAAATGTCTCAGATTTGATCACGGAACAGAGAAAATGAACAGATCCCTTCATTTTTAACAGATTTGTTCAGGAATCTGACTCTTTATAAGAGTCCAAAACAAAGAAACAATATTTTTTATAAAACCATTTCAAATTTAATCAGGAGTGAAAACATTTGGTTTATGAAGACAGCAGGGAAATAGATTTATTCATATAAAATATAAACTTCCAGTCATCAAAAAAAAGTTAATCTTCCAGTTTTTCTGCTTTGGTAATTAGCAGTTTGGATGGGAGGAAACCCTAAAGGTCAGAGGTGACCAAACAGGAAGTGCTTCTTACTTTTCTTTAGTTTGGTTTTGTTTTCTTTGGTTTGTTCAGGAATAAAGTGTGACTGTGAGCRCAACAAGCTGGACTCTTCCTGTTTGGAGAACAGGTTTTCTTTTAGACCTGAGAGAGAAAAATCTTTGTTGTTAAAGAAGAACCGTGCATCTGACTGCAATAACAAGTGTTCCCCTGCCTTCTGTGTACTGAACATGTAAATACAGCTGGAGCTTTGAAATATTTATTAAAACTTAGACACTTGGACCTTTTACAGTTTGTCAGGTTGCAGCAAAGAAACCAATAAAAACCTTTAGACTAGAAAGGACATTGTTTTTTTGTAAACAAGTAGATGTAAATACATTTGCTGAGTTTTGCAGATGGTTTTCTTTGCAAGAGTTGTGGCTGTTTGTCACCAGATAAATGCTTTATTTTAACCAAGAAAACATGAAGAATTAATCAGGAACCTTTTGTGTTCAGGTGTTTTCCTGCTTTGACTAGTTGATTTGATTGTTGGTTTTCCTTGTTTCAGTAAAAGAAGATTGCTGCTAATGTTAGAGCGAGCTTGGAAAGAGAAATGTAGTTGTAGATGTTCCAGTGACAATCCCTGAGGCACAGACACAGACTGTATCCACCACATTGTCTTCATCACTTCCTGTTTCCTGTGTGTAGATGGGCGTGTTCACTACTGAAGCTGTTTGTTGGAACAGGGAGCAGAAAAATAAAAGATGACCACAGATTCTGTCTGTTTTTTGTTTTTTCATTTATGGAGCACATTCTAGGAACAAGACAATGCAAAGTGCCTTACTTTACACAAACACAACTACATTACAGAGACACAATGACAGAAAGCAGAGCAAAGCTGGACCACAGACCGGTGGTCCATGGTCATGGTTCATATGGTAAATAAAACTGTCAAAATTAATCRGTTTAATCTCAATTTAAAAGAAGTCAGGATTTCAGCAGGTTTCTGGAACTTTGTTCCAGATTAATGGAACATCACTGAATTCTGCCTCTTCATGTTTGGTTTGGACTSTGGGGGTGCAMAGACCCACAAGACCTGAGTGGTCTGGATGGTTGATACAACCCACTGRCATTATTACCTCCGCCAAGGAGGTAATTTCTGTCGCATATATCTGTCTGTCTGTCTGTCTGTCTGTCTGTCTGTCTGTCTGTCTGTCTGTCTGTCTGTCTGTCTGTCTGTCGTTCTGTCTGTC